CTGTACACCGGGAAAGTGTTCTCCATCTTCGACCTCAACTCGGCTTTCCACCAGATCGGTTGTGATGAAGACACTGTCCCGCTCACCACCTTTTGCACTCCCACGCAGTTGTTCGAATGACTTCGGATGCTGCAGGGCGCCAACGCAAGTCCGTCTTGGTTCGTCAAGGTCATCAACAGAGTGGTGCACGGTCTGGAGCGTGTGCTTGCTTATCTGGACGATGTCATCTGTTTCGATGAGGAACCTCTGGGACACGTGCTAAACTTGATCTAGTTCTTCAAACGACTGCGATAGTACAACCTCAAACTGTCTCCAGGGAAGGGTCGCGCCGGCGCCACGCACGCCATCTTTCTCGGTCACACCATCTCCCCGGCAGGTGTTAGCCCTGATGGCGTCAAGGTTAGGGCGCTCACGCACATGCCGCCGCCGACGAATGTTAAGCAGCTTCGGAGTCTTCTCGGTGGACTCAGCTACTACCGGAAATTCCTCAAGAATCTCGCCACCAAGGTGCGGCCTCTCAACTCTCTTCTCAAACAAGGCGTCCCCTTCAAGTACACCCCGGGCATGGTCAAGGTTGTCAAAACGTTGTTAAGCGAACTCGCTCGCCCCCCGATTTTGGTCTTCCCGGATTGGGCAGCAATCGAGGACAACAGCCGTCCTCTTCGTTTGTGTTCCGACGCGTGTATCGACGGTTTTGGCGCCTCCTTGGAACAAGAACAGCTCCATGGCTCGGTGAGACCCATCGTGTACATCAGCCGCGCTACTCTTCCTGCGGAGCGTAACTAGACCGTTTTGGATCTGGCGGCTGGTGGCATTGTTTGGGCCATTAAACGCCTTTGCGGTTATCTGTGGTCGACCAAGTTCATCATCTATTCGGACCACAAAGCATTGGAGAGCATTGGCAAGGTTGGGGAACACAACGCTAGAGTGCAACGATGGCTGGAATTCCTGTCCAACTTCACCTACACCCTGAAATATCGGAAAGGTTCGGCAAACGGCAACGCGGATTTTCTTTCGCGGTTGCCTTTACCAGCACAAGACACGGACAAAACCGGCCCCGACTGCATTGATGGTGTCGATCAAGCGGGTGTTTTCCTCATTTGGGCTTGCGGGCGCAACTATCACTCGTCGTCTACACCGGAGGTCGGTTTGGGTGGGCTCCGCCCTCCTTGCACGGCAGGAGTCTTTTCGCCCCCAGCGTTGCAGCCCTCCGATTTTGGGGATTTTCGCCGACATCACCGGCTTCGGGTGGATGCTCTGACGGAATCAAAGATTGCCTGCGAGAATTATCAGCGGTCCCCGGGGGTCTTCATCGTCTCGCCTGTTCTCGCATCTTCAGGGCCTACTTCCTCATTGACCTCGGATGCGTCCCGCGTGATGTCTCCTGTCGCGTCTTTGGCGACTAGATATGTGCACGTTTTGTCTTCGCTTCCGGAGCAGAGACCGCTCATTTCTTCACGGACTCGGGCCAAAACTACCGCTGTTTCCGGAGGCACCGTCACCGGTCCCGCTTTTTTCGGACGCCAGCCGCGGGCCACCATCGTCCCTCGGACATCGTCGCCTGCCCATCGCTCTAGCAGGTCCCGCTCAACAAACAAGACCACCCAGACCGCCGCGCGTCTGCTGCTGCCATCCGCAACGCCGGCATCGGCGTTTTTGTCGACTGCTCTTGCGCCACCGGTGTCTTCGCCGTTAGAGGCGCGCCCTGCATCCCCGACTTTGCCTTCTCTACAGGTTTCGCCCGGGACTTCGCCACTCACGATGTCCCCTTCGCGGACATCACCCCGGACTGCGGCTGCCCCAGTCGCTGAGGCTTCGCCTTCTTCCGCCTCTTCCGTTGGATCGCCTGATTTTTTTTCGGAATCTTCTGATTTGGACACCTCCCCATTGCGGGCTTGTGTTCAGAGTTTCAGCACTGTGGACTGGGCTAGGGAACAGCAGCCGGAGAGCGAGTGTGTGGTGGCTATGCGTTTTTTGTCTTGCGGTTCTCCCTCCCCACCCCCTCCGGGCTTGCTCACTCTCTGTGCTCCTCTTCGCTCCCCTCGGCTAGATGATGTGCTTGTGTTGGCGGCGAAAACCAGACTGCACACGACCGATGACAATATCACCCCCGTACATAAATCGGCGACGTCGCCGGTTGGGCGCTCTGGCGGTAGGACCACTCGTCTGCCGGATACTG